AATATTATCAAAAAAATTTTATTTAAATATTTTAAATTTTAAAAAAAGTAAATCATAAGTAAATTTATAACAATTTTCCAGGCAAATTTGTCTGGAATTGCTTACAGTTTAAGAGATATATTTCGGTAGTTGGCACCTCTTCAACATACATATATATGTCCAATTTTTTTTAAAAAAAAGGATGTGAAAATTATTGTTTAAGATTACAATACTGTACTAACAATTTTAAAGATTTTTACTATTTAGCAATATTATCAGGTGTAAGTTATACACTCTCAATAGTTATTTAATAATTCCAATTCCATCATTGAAGTATTATCAATATCAGATGAATAAATTTGCTCAATTTCTTTGATACTTTTACAAATTTCTTCTTTGTAAATTATATCTTCTACTTCTTGATCTTCATTATAAATTTCTTGATTAATTTCTTGATTTGTTTTGTTATTATTAATTCTAATGTTAGTCTTGTTATTTACTAGTTTTTTAACATGTATTTGAAGATTTTCATAAATGTAAACCAATTTTTTAACTTGATTGTTATTTAAACAATTGCGAAGTTTACTGTAAATAAAACCAAATGTAGAAAAATTCTATTTAGCTGCAGTAGATGAAGTTAGAATTTTAAGAACTTTGATTGCTAGTTGTTTAAAACTACTATCTGGCCATGATTCTCACTACAATGCTATTAATTTATATACAAGTTATTAGTTTTAATATTGATTTATATATATATATTATATATTTAAATAATAAAAAAATTACCTGGATTAAGTTTAGCTGTGGATTCCCAAATAATATCATCATCATATAGAGAACTTTTGTTTTTAAATTTAGCAATTTTAATGAATAATTCTACAGACTTTTCTTGTCCAAATTTTTGAGTTGTAAATATTGTAAATGTATTTTATTCTATAGCCTCTATATTATGAATTTTGCTTTTTTCTAAAAATCACAAATCAAGTATGTAAGAAACCATTATATAATAAACATAATTTCATCATGCCTTAATACAAGTTTGAATATTGTCAAAAAAATTGCATGAAATATTTTGAACTATATTTAACATTTTTCTAAAATTAGAGTAAACAGATGAAAGTGTGATACTATCCAATTTAAATATTTTTAACGTAGCTACAATTGGTTGTAAAATACTTGTTATCAAGTCTAGATTATCCCAAAATCCATCACATAATACATATTTTATATCCATTAATGTTTGTTCTATTGCAATTTTTGATTTTTAAAGCAATTGAAGACATTCAAGATGAGTATCACATCGTGTTATTACTGGTAAAACCAAAGCAATTTCTTTATTATAGTTATCCAATTGAATTCATTTAAGTTTTTCTAATGCTTGTGGATATGATTTAAAATATTTGACCAATTTTGTTGTATTATTTATTACTGTTTTTATATCAAAAATTTTTAAAAGATCCTTAATTTATAAATTTAAAGTATGAAAAGTGTATCCAAAACAAACTATCTTAGGATATTGTTCTTCAATAATATGCCATGCTGTTTTCATTATATTAGCTTTATCTGTTATAACTGCAAAAAAATCTTCAATATTAATTGCTTCCATTTGACAAATTTTTCGATTAGCAATCTATTCTGCTATATGTGATTTTTCTCATGAGTAAATAGCTTTGAAAAAAGGGTTTGAGGTACAATCAATAAAATTTTGTACAGATTCTTGATTAATATTAGACCAACTATCAGAAACTATACATAAACTTCATGCTTCTAAAATTTGTTTATCAGATTTCTTTTTTATATCCTCATAAACCTTAACTACTAATTCATCTGCAAGCTTTTTCCGATTTGGTAATTTAAATTCAGAGTGAATATGTTGAAAAAATTTAATCACATAAGGATTTTCAAGAAAAGAAAATGATACTCCTGTTGCAAACAAGGCTTGTTTTAATATAAATTCAAGAGATTCCTGTTCTTCTCATCTATATTATCTAAAAAAATTTTAATTGGTATAGTTTTTAACTATTTTGGAGTATGTGAACTAGTAGAAGTATAAGGTATTAATGTATTTGTTTGAATTTTTTTTGAGATTTAAAATTTGTTTTAGCATTTTCTGGTGCTCCCAAACAATCATTATTAAGATGTGCCTGCATTCGGGTAGCAATTCCATGATCAAATTTTTTTGAACAATATTTGCATTTTACAGGAGGAATGATTTGTTATTTTCAGGTTGATATTCTATTTGATCCTCAGCTTGGTCTTTATCTTGATCTTCAGCTTAGTCTTTATCTTGGTCGTCAGCTTGATCATTATTCTGATTTTTATTTGAATTTTCTGTAAGAACTGTTCAATGTTTCCATACTGTAGTCTTTCGTTTTCTTATCTTGTATTAGTAATATTATTATTGTGATTTTCAATTTTTAATGATAAAATTTAAAAAATTTTTATTGGTTGATCTTGTTACATGACTATATTATACCAATTATACAGTATAATTATAATTATACTATACTAACTATACGGTTATTATACTATTTTTATTATACGGTATCGTATAATTGCCTATCCCTAGCTCTGAGCTTATTAAATAATTTCTTAACATTGATGCATATGATCAGAGAATTTATCATGTCAATACATAATCTTTTTTTAAACATCATATTATTTATCATTACAAACTTCACTGGAATTCCATTAAGCAAACTGATCAAATGAATGAATATCTGAAGAATAAAATTTTGCGTAATAAAATTCTACATAGATGGTTCAAAAGCTCGATGCTTTCTTACCAACTAAAATGCTATAACATGCCAAAAATTTGAGTGAATCTGAATTTAAAAAAGACTAAATGTGGTAAGCCTACATAGAAAAATATCAATGAATTATAATTAATTATAAGAAAATGAAATTCACTCTTTACTTTTCTTACATCTTTACAGTACGTACAGTATATCCAACATTGATATCTTGTAATTTCCTATTGACAAACTTAGATTTAAGATTCTAAACAATGACACATTTTTTTATTAAATTAAGGTGAGTAGGGACACTTAAAGATCACTGAACCTAGTGATCGACAATCACATGATGACGTTATTTGTTTACCAGAACTAAACAAACTGGCCTAAACTAACTCCTACCCTAACCCTAAACTAACTCTAACCTTGGCCGAGTGATTGTTAGTGGTACTGTGATGATCACTGGGTTCAGTGTTCTTTAGGGTGTTCTCAAGCGCCTTAGTCGATTAGTCGGAATAGGTCGGGAAGCAAATTTTAATTAGTAAAAAATGGGGTTCTGAATCAATTGTATTTAATATTGTAATGGATTATGTAGAGTTGCAATAGTTTAATACATCATAGAGAAAAATTTGATTGTCAGAAGACTGTTTAATCGATCAAAAAAACTTATCATTCCAATTGCAGTCAGGATTTTCCGCAATATGGAAATGATCTGCAAATATATTAGAAGAGTATTCTAAAATCGATTTTCAATTAAAAAAACA